GATAGCGTGGGAACCGGTACCCCTTGGCATCTCCGTAATTTGAATCCGCGCTAAGCGATTCAACATTACACCGGTCTCCGTTTACGCACACAATGGACCGTGAGGCAATAGCAAAAGAAAGCTTCAACAACCTAGTACAAGTAGTATTATAACGGCCTGATGTTGCGTTGGCACTACGCCTGTCTTAAGCCGGATATATATATATATATATATATATATATATATATATATAGTGTTTGCGTGTGTGATTGCACATTTTCCTAAGAGCTACGTCATCCTTGCAGTAACAGAAACACACAGTCAGGCCAGTTGACACGTCCCAGAAGAAAATGCGCGAAAACGGTGAACGTCTTGAAGACCTCACCGATTATGGCCTAGTGGCTATTATAAACAGGCGTCTTCAATATTAAGGGGAAAATACCTGGAAATGAATGTATTATTACAACTCATTATTATTATTAAACTCATATTCAAATCCTTGCAAAAAAATAATAAAATAACCTCGAACGATAAGATTATCCAATTGAAAAAATTACCTGGATGGGGACGACGGAAAGGTCCATCTGGAGTATGGAGTACACCGAAAAGCACGAAAACAAGAATGGTCGCGCAGATTCCGCTTTTAAAGGAGAGAAAGAGCAAGCTGCATGAAACCAAACTGTTACACTACTTACCGCTTCATGTTGTACTCAGATGAAAATTGTCCGTTTTCAAATACGGCAACATAAAGCAACACGATGGAAAATATTGCCAAACAAAGCACGGTGTGTGCATTCCTATGGCCTATCAGCAATGAGTTGTCAATCATGCATACCAGAAGAAAGACATTGTCCCATCGTCGAAAAAATCTTTGTAACGGTTTTTCTCTGCTTCCCAATCATATGCTGTTTGTCTAACATCCCGTGGCCGTACAGTACATGTACTACTCCGACCATTTGACACTGAAGACTCGGTCAAACTGCTTTTGCCAATATCTTCAGAAGAGTTCCTTATATTTGCACTCATTTCAGTTCACCTGAATGGATGTAACGAACACAACCTATAATAGATTACAATTCTTTAGATTGGGCTGCTTTACGCAAGTGTAGAAAACATTACACATTACAGAACAGATGCCAGGTTAGGGGAAAAGTTCCAAAATAGTAATTTACTGATTAACTTTCTTTTTGTAGGAAACATTGTTGTACAAAAACGCCGTGAATGGAGAAGAGAACCTCCCTCAACAGTGGTCAGTCGACGGGCAGTCATTACCCTAAAAAATGAGTGAGTGAGGTGGCAAAGCGAGGAGAATTAAAACACTCGACCTCCCAGCGATGCGACTGTGACTAACACTACTTAAGGGACACCGCTCTACCTGTCACTGCCGACAGAAAACTATACCGATTGTAACCAAAACCATTGGTTTTGCATGAGTTAGGTTTTTGTAAACCCACTTTACGACTGTCAGTCCTTGCTACTCTCTAAGCTGATCTATTTTCTCATTTCAGCCTGTGGTGACATTTTGATTACACCTTTGTCTACGAGTCCTCCATTACTTCAAATATTCTGCTGTTTTACCAGGTGCATGTCACGTGTATAAGCTCAACCAGACAACCCTCGCTTGTCCCATTAGGGCACGATGTTCTGTTATAGGTGCAAACAACATCTTAGAAGTATCACTTGAAAAACCGTTGAGCACGCTTGTCAATCTCCTTTATCCACTGCAGTTACATTTGAAGACACCGGTGCTTCATTAATGTGGGTGGCACATGAACGTACTGGCATTCTTGCTAATGGAACACGAGCGTCACCGCTGGGGCACCAGATATTCATAGGTGATTCAACATTACCTGAGAGTCAACAAAGTTAACCTGAGCGTGCCCTTTTGGACAAACCTCGGTGACTGTCCGGGTCATTGAAACATTCGGTCGTTTTAAGTTCTTACGTTTTTGGAGAATATAGGCACTCACAGTCTCGGTTGATAAGTAACTAATCATTTCGCGCTCCTATGTATTATTCACCGGTCAGGGTAATTCACTGTCTTTTGACTGTGCTAATGCTGATGAGGAATCATTCGGAAATGTTAGCGGTGCATCTACTACTATATTTATTTTAACGCATAAACATACGTTTTACGCCGGACATTGTCATATATGACGCTGGCCCCGAAACTTACATGGAAGATTAAAGCACTATTCAATCGCCAAGGCCTACTTATAGTTAATCACAGCAGTTTTATTTGTACTCATGATTCCTTATAAAAAATAAATATTCTCTAGACGTGGTTATAACCCCTATCTTAAAGAAGTTCTCGCTACCTTCACCTTCACGTTCTGGAATCAAAGCCAGTAGGGACTCCTTCGGTATGAGCCTTCTCTCCTCCGGATCCGAACAAGCTACCCACCAGCTTGTCACCTTATCAATAGGAAATCATCCAGCCGCTGTTTGAAGTTGTCATCATTCACCTCTTCCACCACATCTGCATTCAAAATATTGGTCAATCTCCTAGAGAGACGGTAAACTGAGGGAAGTCCGGCTGACTCTTGTTTCCTAAGCGTGAAACGGTGACCGCAAGCGGGTGCATCGTTGCGTAGTGCACGTAGACTCACAACTAGATGGGTAGTTGCTCTCTGGACACGTTCAACTTTTGCCACCCCTTGTGGTGGGAAAAGCCGCTGCTCCACCATACACCAGACGAGGCGGACCGCCGTGGGGCACAGGAGTTTGAAGGCCCTTCTCAACAGCGGTCCGAACGACCGGCGAATTGCTCCCAGGATGCTCCAGGTAGAAGAACAAACTTGGTCTTGAGGGACGATGCGATGATGACCCCCAAGTCCCTCTCATGGTTGCTGCTCCTGAGGACGGCATCGTTTAACGTATACACCGATCTCATGTCACTGTGACCTATTCTCATGTGTACACACTTGCCGATGTTGATGGGGAGCGCTCAGTCCTCCGCCCACTCCGAGAGTCGATCCAAATCAGCTTGTAAAACTACCGCGTGACGACTGAAGTGGTTTCCATAGTTTCAGATCATCTGCGTAGACGAGGCATGGTGACTGTAGCCAACTGGGAGATCGTTGATGTAAAGCAGAAACAGAACGGGGCCTAGAACCGAACCTTGAGGAACTCTGCTAAGAACTGAATGCCTTGGTCAGTACCACCGACTAACCAACAGGGCCTTGTGCTTCGCCAGTCCAAGTTCCAGGGCTAGGTTGCCGGTCACCTTTCATCTCACTGTGAATACTACAACTAACAGAATCAATTCTCAAGTGCACTCTCACTCGACAATCGCAACCACTAACATTCGCGGCTTGAACCATAAAATTGATGCTGTACATCAATTTCTTCAGTCCACTTCCCCTAGTGCTTTACTTTTATCCGAAACACAACTTTCCGCTTCTACAGACACCACCCGTCTTCAGTTTCCCAATTATTTCCTTCATACTTCGCTTATCCCCAAATCTGGTGTTTGTGCTTTCATCGCATTCAACCCCGCACACACCCAAAGTCAAACCATCTTTTCACACCGCTCATTTTCACCAGAAAAATACGTCAGATTCTCTTGTCGCTGGACACACACAAGCCACCTGGACCTGACGGGATTCTTCCCATTGTCCTAAAATGTGCGCCCCAGAACTGGCTCCCCTCCTACATCGCTTATTCTATCTCTCAATTCCGAGATATTTCCAACCCCGTGGGAAATATTAGAAATACTTCCTATCCCTAAACGCGGCGACCACTCAGACCCAAACAACTACAGCCTCATCTCTCTCATACCAGTCATTTGAAGGTTATGGAATCAGTTGTTTCTGATCACCTCCGCCACCTCCTGGAGCAGAACAATATGCTTAACGACCGCCAGTACGGTTTCCAATTGTTATGTTACACTCTTGTTTGTCGCTTCACATTACTTTGTATTCGTCCCTCTAAATTTTCCCGTCATTCCTTTTCAGCCCGTCGTCCATTTGTATGTTGAATAAAGCCTAGATATCGGGCCTTTGTCTTCTCCCTGTTCAACGGCTGTTACGATCGTCTCTCACGTCACCGATCACATCGATCTACCGATGATCTTCTGGCGCTCATTTCGCATACATGGTCAGTGGCACTCGACAACCACGGAGAAACCCATGCGGTGTCATTGGATATATCGAAAGCTTTCGATCATGTCTGGCAAGCCTGTTCGCTGGATAGACTACCCAAGTTTGGCTTTCCTTCGGAACTTGTGTCCTGGACAGCAAGCTGCCTCAAGGACCGCAGCATCTCCGTCAGAGTAGATGGGACCATGTCTCGTTCCGTGCCTGTGAATGCTGGTGTTCCCCAAGGTTCTGTGCTTTCCCCTTCCCTTTTTCTGATGTTTAGTGATGACCTTTCTTCAACTTCAAATCGTATTCACGCATTTGCCGTAGAAGCTACCTTACACTTTTCTCTATCCTACTCCTCTTCACCCATCGCTAACTCCAACATTAGTGACCACCGCTCCTCCCTTAGTTTCTCCCTAAACTCTGATCTGGGCCTTATTTCTGCTTGGGGCTGTCGCACCCGTGTTCTGTCCAATGCCAGTAAAAGTCCTCTTATGTCTATTTCTCTTGAGAACCTATCTTTTCTCCTTGAATTTTAACTCGAAAATTCTCCGTTCCACAGAATCATGCAACCTATTGTCCTTCCTTATCTTCTTCTCTTTCATGGTCATATTATATTTATCTACTTGTTTCCCGCGCTGCGCGTAAAATCGGCTTCCTCTTCCGAGCCAGACGTCCCCCCCCCCATTCACCTCCTCATGCTTCATAAAGCTCAGATTCGTCCTACACTTGGATACTGCAGTCATGTAAGGGGTGGATTTCATTCACCTCTCTCTTCCTGATCGGGTTCAACGTGAGGCCATCCGGCTTATCAACGACCCGTCCCTAACATCGAACTTGCCGTCACTAGCTCACCGTCGGGCAGTTGCTTCTTTATCCTTGTTCTATTGATACCACTTTGAACTTTGCTCTGATGAACTTTCCGCATCTGTCCCTCACCCACTTGTTCTTCCTCGTCGACCCCGCGCACAAGCGGCTAGCCACCCATTTCAAGTGACTATCCACAGATGTCGCATTTCTAACTTTCAATCATCTTTTTTCGCAACAACAGCACAACACTCTCTCCCTTTCAGTCTGCCCTCCAACGTAAAACATCCTGCACGCCATTGCTCCCTGGCCAGAAGAAGGTTTGATAGGACCTCCTCGGGCGAAAACCATACTGTTGGTGGCACAACAGTTGGTACTCCTTCAGATTGCGATGTAATCTGCTAGAGATCAAGTGTTCCATCACTTTGCAAGAAGTGCGCGTCAAACTGACGGGACGGTACTTCGCCGGATCTGCCCTTGAACCACTCTTAAACAGGGGCGATATCAGTGCAATCTTCCAATCCTCTGGAAGTCGACCATATTTCAGGGAACTATTGAACAAAGCCCAGAGAGGGACAGATATCACGACCGCAAGCTCCTTCAACACCTTGGGATGCAGCCCATCAGGACCCGGGGATTCATTTATGTTCAGGTTCTCCAGAGTGGCCTGGACTTCACGTGGGTTGAACAACAAGACAGCCAATGTGGGTGAGCGAAGACCTTGAATGTGCAGACCTTCAGGAAACGGCTCCGCTGACTCATACATTAATGCATAGTGCCTTGAAAATAGATCAACTTGTTCGCCTGGGTCATCCTTTAGCGCGCCTTGAACCAAGAGTGGTGGTAGGGTGGTTGGAACCCTGGTTCTACGTCGCGGATACGCAAAAAGCCCATTAGAAGCGGTAGCTGCCAAGCTATCTTCGAGGGCCGCTCTTTTCCAACGTTGCTTTGATGGACACTGATTACGGAAGTCTTTGTAATAGTCATGCCCTCGACCGGCAAATGTGGGACAACTGCGGGGTAAAAGCTCCAAACCGAGTATTATAAACTTCAAAGTCGTGAGAATATAGCGCCCCATATGAGGTATGTCAATGGCACTTTACGTGTAAAGTGCATTGCATTATTGCCACTCCGTTTGAGTGTGAGTCGTGCTCATGTCTCACTGGACCTTTTGGTCCATCATCATCATCATCATTGTACAGCGCAATACAGTGAAGCGAACTTCACCGATCGCTGCCAAACTCATAATGCATACAAGATAAGTGAGAATGTGTAAGGAGGATAGAGATTGCACTTAATTTTAGGGACCAGAAAAGAAAGCAAACCTCTATGATCAACACAGAGTACAAAGTCCAACTGTGCACAGATACTATTTCAAGCGCTCTAGTCTGATAAGAAGTGACAAGATCACCACCTCTTTTGGTTCGCAGCCATGACCTTTGATGCCCCCAACCATGCGATTTCGGAGTCTTTTGAACCACATCCCGGAAGACGAGAGACACCTATTCTGCCTAATCGCTCTGTGCATTTCTTCATACCTCGTCTCCACATCATCTAGTGGCCTCCACGTAGCTTTCTCAAGCCTGCAACAGCCACTGCGAATAAGCCGCGCTGCGGTAGGCGACCGTCGGACATACCCAAGACGTCTCCAAAACAACGGAGCCTACTGAGCTGAATTCGATGCGATAACAATCTCGTGTTTGATGCATTCCCAAACACCCGAAGAGTTACGCTTAAGTTACTAACCCGCTCACTCCATCCCACTTGGGCCAAACTACGTATGCATCAATTATCGAAAACCACCAGGCGAAGGATGTCTTCTACCCGCAAATTCTAGGTCTCACAACCTTAAGGCAGAACTGATCGTACAGCGGTACAGTAAACGCGACTTTTCAACTTCAACGAAACATCACGTCGTCACCACAGGTGTTTCAATCCTGCGTACGCTGCTCGAACCTTGGAAATTCGGGCGGCTATCTCCTTTGATGCACTACCGTCGTTGATCACGCTGCTAATTACGAGAAGTGGTCTACTTCAACGAATTCCTGACCGTCTAGTTTCAGAGCAGAACTCAGTGACGCCCAGTCTTTTAGCATCACTTTGAACTTAGAAGGTGCAAAGCACATACCGAAAGGAGCGACAGAACTTATTAATCTGCCAAGTGCTCGTTGCGCATCCTCCATACATTCGAACAAGCAGACGATGTCGTCAGCGTAATCCAAATCACAGCTTTTCTCCAGCTGTCCATCTAATACCTACATTTGGGAGACCACTTAGTGTGTTCTCCAGTATTTCGTCTATGACGAAATTGAACAGGAATGGAGAACATCACTGCTAGTTACGAACGATCGACTCAGTTCGCCGTTGACCCTTACGCCACCAGAAGTATGCGAGTAGAGTGAACTCAGTATGTTCACGTACT